GGCCGGTCGGCCCCCATTCAATAGGGGCCGTCCAGAACCCCGAGGATGCCCCTCAGAGGCCCAGACCGAGCCCCGAGAGGCCCCACTTGAACGAAGGATTGCAAAAAAACCCAGGATTGCAAAAAAAACAAGGATTGACCCTTGAACGAAGGATTGCAACAAAAACCCTTGAACGAAGGGTTTTTTTGCAATCCTTCGTTTTTTGCAATCCGACGCCCCTCAAACCGCCTCCACGAGGCTTCCAAGGAGAGGCCCTTCAAGTAGCGCTGGGACTGCGCGGGCCACCCAGGGGGGCCCCATGAGCGGCCCAAGAGGACTCAGGAGGGGGAAAAACACACAGACACAATGAATCGTCGATTCCCAGGAATATATTGGAAAATATGGGAAGTGGGGGGAAGACAAAAACCCAGAAAATATGGGAAAATATTGAGAATCTTTTTATTTGTGTGTATTTATTTGTGTGTCCTGGGGCCCCTTCAAGGACACCGGATGCTCGGCCACACTCGCGCCGAGGCCATTGTGACATTCGTGCGCTGGCCGCTTGTCATGCCTCCCTTCTCGCTCCTTGCTCCTCGCTCCACGCACCTGACTCCTCCCCCGCTCTCTCCTCGCTGCTCTCAAGTCGGGCCTGTCCCTCTACAGGGGGAAGATTCAACAATAGTCAAAACATAGTCTGGGGACGATTTTTGAGTTTTTTTTTGCCATTTGGGTGCATGTTTTGACTACTTTTTATTTTTCGTCGAAAATACCCCTGTAGGGGGACAGGCCCGACCTGATGCTCGCCTCTTCCTCAAAACGCTCCTGCCTCTCTTCTGTCTCCTCTTCGCTGCTGCCACCTCCTGGCCCCTCGCTCATCCCTCTTGGCTGCTGGCATCTGCCTCCTCCCCCCTCGTCTGCGGTTCTCCCTCATCCCTCCTAGTCTGTCGTTCTCTCTCTATCCTTCTCTCTTTCTCTTTCTCTCTCTCTCTCTCTGTCCTCGGATGTTGCTCCTCCCCTCTCGCTTCTTGCTCCTCGCTGATCGTTCCTCGCTTCCCCCCACACCAACCCTAACTCCTTGCTCATCGCTCCTTGGTCGGCTCACGAGCTGCATGTTGCGTCAGCTAGCAGGGGCAACAAGAAGCAGCACTCTGCAGCCTCAAGCAGCAACGGCGAACAGCAGCAGACCACAGCAAGCAGCTGCAGCACACTGCGAAAGTAAGCAGCAGCAGCAGCAGCAGCAGCAGCAGCAGCAGCAGCAGCAGCAGCCGCGGCGGCGGCGGCGGCGGCGGCAGCAAGCAGCAACATCCCGCGTGCAGCAGCACCTCGCAGCTGTAGGCAGCAACAGCAGAAACAAGATTCGGGCCCAACGTAATCACAAAAGCCTTTCGGCAACATCTCTGCCCTGGCCCAACGCGCCATTTCGGACAGGCTTCGTGGCCTCTAGGCAACGGGTCAGCGCTGGTCAGCTACAACGCTGGGATCAGCGCTTGCGAGAAGGGCGAGCAGTGGCAGCGGGCTTTGGCGCTGCTGCGCGCGATTCGCGAGGCGAAGCTGACGCCCGACATCATCTATCCTACAATACCGCGGACAGCGCGCGGGGCGGGCCCTCGGAGCCGCCTCGGTAGTCTTCGGGGAGGCCCCGATGGCGCAGGCGACGGCGCAAGACTGCTGAACATGGCCCCCAGACAGCCCAAGAGGCACCCATGACGCCCCAGGACCGCCCCAAGAGTCTCCCAGAGAGCGCTTCCAGGGGCCGAATTTTTTGATGTCCTATGGTTTTGCGATGCTTTCTTGGCGTTCTCGCTTTTTCTGTCTTCCAGCCGCCCAACACGGCCTCAGGGGCCTCCCAGATCGTGCCAGGGCGGCCCCAGAGGCTCCTAAGAGCGCCCCGACACGGCCCAAGAAAGCTCCAAGGCGGTTCCAAGACGGCCCCAAGACGGTCCCGGAGTGTCCCAAGAGAGGCCCCAGAGAGGCCCAAAGGGTCCCAGAGGCCCCCAAGCCGGCCCAAGCCTGCCCCCGAGGGTTCCGAGCCGACCTCGCAGGGCCCCAAGACGGCCACCGAGGAAGAGGGACCCTAGAGCCCCCCAGAGGCCGAATTCATTAATTTTCTATGTTTTTAATATGTTCCACCCCTTTCGGGCTTCAGCCGCCCAAGACGGCCTCACGGGCCTCCCAGATCGTGCCAGGGCGGCCCCAGAGGCTCCCGAGAGCGCCCCGACACGGCCCAAGAAAGCCCCAAGACGGTTCCAAGAAGGCCCCAAGACGATCCGGGAGCGCCCCAAGAAAAGTCCCAGAGAGGCCCAAAGTGTCCCAGAGGACCCGCCTGAAGCCCCAGGGAAGGCCCAGGCGCTCAGAGCCGCCTCGGTAGCCTTCGGAGAGGCCCCGATGGCGCAGGAGACGGCACAAGATTGCCGAACATGGCTCCCAGACAGCCCAAGAGGCGCCCGTGACGCTCCAGGACTGCCCCAAGAGGCTCCCAGGGAGCGCTTCCGGGGGCCGAAATTGCTCATTTCCAATAGTTTTGTTATGTTTTCTAGACCGGCGCTCGCGGAGCTGCCGATCGGTGGCAGTTGACCAGCCCTCTCCGGCGGCCCCTGCGAGCCCCAGCAAGCCTCGGCGCGCTTCCAAGATGGCCCAAGAGCGTTCCGAGACGCACGAGGAGGCCCCCAAGAGGGCCCCAGACGGCCGAAAACGGTACCAGAGGTTTCCCACGACGAGCCCCAAGAGAGCCCGAACTCCGAAAAATCATCCCATTTCCAAGGGAAAGCGTGCATTTTGGCAGTCCAAGGGCTTGCCCTCTTCATAGCGTCCAAGACGGCCATAGAGGGCCCCAAGATGGCCCCAGGACGGCTCCTGAGGCGCCCCTGACGGCCACGGGGTACCCAAGACAGCCTCAAGAGCGGCCCAGGACGGCCCAAGACGACCCCCAGATGGGGCCCAGACTCCAGAGACGCCCAAAAGGCGGCCCCAGGCAACCCCCAGACGGCCCCGGACCGCCTCCACACGGCCTAAGGGGCACCCGAGACAGCCCAGAGCGCCCAGGAGGCTTCCAGGAGGCCGAAAAGGAGCGCTGCCGCCCAAGAAGCACCGAAGACGGCACCAACAGCCGCCCAAGACGGCCTAAGACGGCCAGCCACAGACGGCCCCAAAACGGCTGCCAGCGCACCATGGGGCTATGATGCTTGTTCGGCGCTCCCAGCCGGATTTGGCCCAAAATCCCTCGCCCTTTGTGTCGGCCCCTTGAGGCCATGCCGTGTTTCGCTCTTCTGGTGGCCCAGGATCGCCTCGGAGTTGCTCACAGCTTCGAGAAGTTTTTGAAACGGGCCACACAGGTCTCTTGGCGGGTCTCGGCCCTGCCCTGTCATGATATGGCAGGTTTTCCACGCTATCCCGGTCCACTTTGGGCCATCTCCGGCTCCTCTCGGCGATCATTTCAGGCCATCTTTGGGGCTTCATGGGGTATTTTGGCGGGTCTCGGCCCTGCCTTCTCATGATACGGCAGGTTTTCGACGCCATTGGGGCCCACTTTGGGCCATCTCCGCCAGTGGCAGCAAGCCCGGGCTCGCCCTAGTCTCTCCCACATGGCTGGTGGTAGCGCGTGCGAGAGGCCCAGGGCCGCAAGTGGACAAAAAATCGCCCCTTTTCGGCGCCACCGTGCACGGGGCCGAATCGCTCAGGCTGGTCCCAGAGGCGCTCCAGAGGGGTTCCCAGACCGTCCAAGAGCGCTCCAAGACGACCTCAGTGGGTCCCGAGACGGCCCATGAGGTCCCGAAGCCTTCCAGGGGGGGGCTCCACGACGATCCAAGAGGCCGCAAAGACGCTCCAAGAGGGCCCCGAGCGCACGCCAAAGAGGAACACATCGTCAATTTCCGATAGGAAAACGTATATTTTCAGCATGCCCGCCTTGTGTGCTCCTCAGCGGCCCAGGACACGCCAAGAGGCCTCCCAAATCGCCCCAAGAAGACGCCAGCGGCCCCAAGACGGCCCACAAGAGCCCCAAGACGACGTCAGAGAGCCTTGAAACGGCCTCACTGAACCCCAAGACGGCTCCAAGAGAGCTCCGAGGGGGCCCCAAGAGGCTCCCAAGACGGCCTCAGGCAGCCTCAAGAGAGCTCCAAGACGGTCCAAGGCCTCCCGGACGCCCCGTGACGGCCCAAAATGGCCCCAAGACGCGTCAAAACGCTCCCAGAGCAGCCCAAGAAAGCTTCAGAATGGCCCGAAAAGCATTCCACAAGGACCACCACGCAGGCCCAGAGACGCCCATTAAAAGAGCGATCGGTGAAGTACAAGGCTCTTCTCACCAAGGCTCCCAAGAGCGAGCCGCAGCGAAGAGAGCTCTCCCGGGCACAGCTCCCAAGAGCGAGCGGTGACGTTGGGGGCTCGCTGGGGGTCCGCTCGCGCCCCGACGGCCCGAGCGGACCCCTAGCGAGCCCCAGGGCAGCCCAAGAGTTCCCGACGGCAGGCGAGAAGCCAGGGGGAAGCAGACAAGCGGGGAGAGGCACACCGCAGACCCATCATAGCCGTCTGTGACGCTCCAGGCGGAGTGGAGCGGAAAGCGGACGAAGAGGAGGAGGCGCCCGCCTTCCAATTTCGGAAAGGCGGCCGGAAAGAGTCACCGAAGGCTTCGGGGTGACTTTTTCATGGGCGGGGGCCCAATGTGGAGGCGCGCCAGGGAAACCTGTTGATCGTGGACGAAGTCCACGGGTTCGCCCTAGTCAGCTACAACGCTGGAATCAGCGCTTGCGAGAAGCGCGGGCAGTGGCAGCGGGCTTTGGCGCTGCTGCGCGAGATTTGCGAGGCGAAGTTAGAACCTAGCGCCATCTCTGCTACAATACCTGCAAACCATTGTGTTGCACAACAGCTCGAGGGACACACGAGACAACTCTTCGGGTTTCCCACACTTCGTCCCACAGAGCCCCAAGAGAGCCCGAACGCAGAAAAATCTACCCATTCCCTAGGGAAAGCGTGCATTTTGGCAGTTCCCAGGCTTGCCCTCTTCACGGCGTCGAAGACGGCCATAGAGGGTCCCAAGATGGCCCCAGGACGGCTCCTGAGGCGCCCCTGACGGCCACGGGGTACCCAAGACAGCCTCAAGAGCGGCCCAAGACGACCCCCAGGCTGCTCCAGAGACGCCCATGAGGACCCCCAGACGACCCCGGACCGCCTCCACACGGCCTACGGGGCACCCGAGACAGCCCAGAGCGCCCAGGAGGCTTCCAGGAGGCCGAAAAGGAGCGCTGCGGCCCAAGAAGCACCGAAGACGGCACCAACGGCCGCCCAAGACGGCCTAAGACGGCCAGCCACAGACGGCCCCAAAACGGCTCCCAGCGCACCATGGGGCTCTGATGCCTGTTCGGCGCTCCCGGCCGGGTTGGGCCCAAAATCCCTCGCCCTTTGTGTCGGTCTCGAGCTCTCTCCGTGGCCCCTTGCGGCCATGCCGTGTTTCGCTCTTCTGGTGGCCCAGGATCGCCTCGGGGTTGCGCACAGCTGCGAGAGGTGTTTGCAGCGGGCCACAGAGGTCTCGTGGCGGCTCTCGGCCCTGCCCTGTCCTGATATGGCAGATTCTCGACGCCATTGGGGCCCACTTTGGGCCATCTCCGCCAGCGGCAGCAAGCACGGGTTCGCCCTAGTCTTAAGTCGGGCCTGTCCCCCTACAGGGGGATTTTCGACGAAAAATACAAGATACCCTAAACATAGTCAAACAATACTCCAAAAATAGTCTGGGGATTATTTTTTGAGTATTGTTTGACCTTTTTGGCGTATTTTGGGAGTATTGTTTACTCTTCGTCGGAAATCCCCCTGTAGGGGGACACGCCCGACATAACCCTAGTCAGCTACAACGCTGGAATCAGCGCTTGCGAGAAGCGCGGGCAGTGGCAGCGGGCTTTGGCGCTGCTGCGCGAGATTCGCGAGGCGAAGTTGGAACCTAACGCCATCTCTGCTACAACACCTGCAAGCCATTGTGTTGCACAACAGTTCGAGGGACACACGAGACAACTCTTCGGGTTTCCCACACTTCGTCCCAGGCCGCGCCGGCCATTCAGGGCTTCTCCCTGTCATTCATTGCCCTTCTCCTCCATCACCTCCCTCCCTCCCCCCCATTCTCGTTCACCTCCCGCCCTTCTCCGCTCCGGCAGCCTCCCAGGACGGCTCACGAGCTATAGGTGCCCACATCCCAGGCTCAGCACACCGTGGCGGTAATCCAAAGGTGCGCACTGGTCTCTCCTATACTGAAGCCTTCACCGCCCGCCAGAGCCCCGAGCGCGACAACGTCCCAGGGTCTGGGACAGCTGACTTGTCTCCGCTTCCACCTCCCTGACTCCTGATCCGCCCTACTTTGGGCGATTTCGAAAGTAGGGCGGAAATTTCCGCCCTACTTTTGAGGCCCCTTTGAGCGTCGATTTCCGCCGGGAGGCCACCGGCGCGGCCCCGAGGCCCCGGCGCGCTTCCAAGGTGGCTTCGGAGCGCGCCGAGCCGCCCCCGAAGGCCCCCCCAAGAGGGCCCGAAGACGGCCGAAGCAGAGACGGTCCGAGAGGGCCTCCGAGACGGGCCCCGAGCGCTCGAAGACGCCCAAGACAGCCGCCCGACGGCCCGAGAGGCCCCCCCTAAGAGGTCCGGAGGCCCCTTCCCAGACGTGCGACCTGCTGATTTTTTCAGGACCGCGTCCCTGGAAGTCCCGACCCTTCCTCCCCGGGACCGGTTCTTCGTCCCGAGTCGTTTCTCGACGGTCCCGAGGCCCGGCGAGGGCCCCCCGGGGCCGAAAATGGCCCAAAAACCTGCCGTCCTGATTTCGTTACGACGCGATCGTGTCCAGGCTCGGATCTCTCCAGTCTCGAGGGTGGGGGCTCGAGGCCTTTTTTTTTGGGCCCCCAACGGAGGGGCGGCACGTCGCAGCGGCGTGGGTCGGGCCCACGAGCCTGGTGGGTTTGGACCCCTGGAGCGTCCCGCGGGCGACGACGTCGCCGACGACGACGACGACGACGACGACGACGACGACGACGACGACGACAACGTCAATGACGACGACGACGTCGACAACGTCAATGACGACGACGACGACGACGACGACGACGACGACGACGACGACGACGACGACGACGTCAATGACGACGACGATGACGACGACGACGACGACGACGAAGACGACGACGACGACGACGACGACGACGACGACGACGACGACGACGACGACGACGACGACGACGACCAGGACGCCGCCGGGCGCGGGCCCGCGATTCTGCCACGGGAGGCCTCTCTGTGGCAGAACGCACCCTGCCCTGTCTTGGAGGGGCCCGAAGGCACCCTGCCCTGTCTTGGAGGGGCCCGCAGGCCTCAAAATTACCCTGGCGACGTACAGTGGGGGCGCGTGCCAAGAAACCAGTTGGATTTTGCCAGGGAGCCCTGGGTTTCTTGGATTTCGACGGGCTCCCAATCAGATCTTGACGACTTTCGATCGACACATGTGGTTTTTCACCGAACAAATCGCGGATTTCAGGGTTGGGTTTCTTGCGGAGGTTTCTTGCGGCCGAGCCCCCACTGTACCCAACCCTTGCGCAATGCGGGGCATAGGTACATCAGGATTGCTACAACGGTGGCGATGACGTAGCATGGACGCATGTGGTTTTGCGAGCAGCAATCGGAAGGCTCGCAGGCCCCCGATCAAGATATAAGGGCCACGCAATTACAAATCACCCCCGTTGGCTGTGCCATGCGCCCGTTGCACCCAACATATCCCGCAGCAGCTTTTGAGAGCTCCCGCGGGATACGTGTAGGCGCAACGTGATGGCCATCGCTCGGCAGATGCTCTGTTCCACAAATCACCCCCGCTGGCTGTGCCATGCGTCCGTTGCGCCTAACGTATCCCGCAGCAGGTCTCCAGAGCCCCCCAAAGACGGCGAGGTCTCGCTCAGGTCCCCGCGGTGCCTCACTCCGCTGGACCCACCAGCAGCCCTCGAAAGTGGCGACAGTGTCGCAGGTCGCAGCCCCCCCACGGACGGCGAGGTCTCGCTCAGGTTCCCGCGGTGCTTCACTCCGCTGGACCCACCAGCAGCCTTCGAAAGTGGCGACAGTGTCGTAGATCGCAGCCCTCCCCCCCCCCAAAAAAAAAGACGGCGAGGTCTCGCTCAGGTCCCCGCGGTGCCTCACTCCGCTGGACCCATCAGCAGCCCTCGAAAGTGGCGACAGTGACGCAGGTCGCAGCCCCCCAGGGACGGCGAGGTTTCGCTCAGGTCCCCGCGGTGATTCACTCCGCAGGACCCACCAGCAGCCCCTGAAAGTGGCGACAGTGTCGCAGATCACAGCCCCCCATGGACGGCGAGGTTTCGCTCAGGTCCCGCTCAGGTCCCTGCGGTGCTTCACTCCGCTGGACCCACCAGCAGCCTTCGAAAGTGGCTACAGCGTCGCAGATCGCAGCCCCCCCCCCGGGGACGGCGAGGTCTCGCTCAGGTCCCTGCGGTGCTTCACTCCGCAGGACCCACCAGCAGCCTTTGAAAGTGGCGACAGCGTCGCAGATCGCAGACCCCCCAGGGACGGCGAGGTCTCGCTCAGGTCCCTGCGGTGCCTCATTCCGCTGGACCCACCAGCAGCCCTCGAAAGTGGCGACAGTGTCGCAGATCGCAGCCACCCACGGGGACGGCGAGGTTCTGCTCCGGTCCCCGCGGTGCCTCATTCCGCTGGACCCACCAGCAGCCTTCGAAAGTGGCGACAGCGTCGCAGATCGCAGCCCCCCCAGGGACGGCGAAGTTTCGCTCAGGTCCCCGCGGTGCCTCACTCCGCTGGACCCACCAGCAGCCCTCGAAAGTGGCGACAGTGTCGTAGATCGCAGCCCCCCCCCCCCAAACAGGGACGGCGAGGTCTCGCTCAGGACCCTGCGGTGCCTCACTCCGCAGGACCCACCAGCAGCCTTCGAAAGTAGCAGCAGTGTCGCAAATCGCAGCCACCCCCCCGTGGACGGCGAGGTCTCGCTCAGGTCCCTGCGGTGCCTCACTCCGCAGGACCCACCAGCAGCCCTCGAAAGTGGCGACAGTGTCACAGACCGCAGCCACCCCCCCAGGGACGGCGAGGTCTCGCTCAGATCTGCGCGGTGCCTCACTCCGCTGGACCCACCAACAGCCCCCGAGAGTGGCGACATTGTCCCAGATCGCAGCCACCCCCCCAGGGACGGCGAGGTCTCGCTGAGGTCCCCGCGGTGCCTCACTCCGCTGGACCCACCAGCAGCCCTCGAAAGTGGCGACAGCGTCGCAGATCGCAGCTTCCCCAGGGACGGCGAGGTCCCGCTCAGGTCCCCGCGGTGCCTCACTCCGCAGGACCCACCAGCAGCCCCCGAAAGTGGCGACAGCGTCGCAGATCACAGCCTCCGAGGGACGGCGAAGTCCCGCTCAGGTCCCCGCGGTGCCTCACTCCGCAGGACCCACCAGCAGCCTTCGAATGTGGCGACAGCGTCGCAGATCGCAGCCCCCCAGGGACGGCGAGGTCTCGCTCAGGTCCCCGCGGTGCCTCACTCCGCAGGACCCACCAGCAGCCCTCGAAAGTGGCGACAACGTCGCAGATCGCAGCCCCCCCCAGGGACGGCGAGGTCTCGCTCAGGCCCCCGCGGTGCCTCATTCCGCAGGACCCACCAGCAGCTTTCGAAAGTGGCGACAGTGTCGCAGATCGCAGCCCCTCAGGGACGGCGAGGTCCCGCTCAGGTCCTCTCGGTGCTTCACGTCGCAGGACCCACCAGTAGCCCTCGTAAGTGGCGACAGTGTCACAGATAGCACCCCCCCAGGGACGGCGAGGTTTTGCTCCGGTCCCCGCGGTGCCTCACTCCGCTGGACCCACCAGCAGCCTTCGAAAGTGGCGACAGTGTCGCAGATCGCAGCTTCCCAGGGACGGCGAGGTTTTGCTCCGGTCCCCGCGGTGCCTCATTCCGCTGGACCCACCAACAGCTTTGGAAAGTGGCGACAGCGTCACAGATCACAGCCCCCCCAGGGACGGCGAGGTCTCGCTCAGGACCCCGCGGTGCTTCACTCTGCTGGACCCACCAGCAGCCCTCGAAAGTGGCTACAGCGTCGTAGATCGCAGCCCCCCCCCAAAAAAAAGACAGCGAGGTCTCGCTCAGGTCCCCGCGGTGCTTCACTCCGCTGGACCCATCAGCAGCCCTCGAAAGTGGCGACAGTGTCGCAGGTCGCAGCCCCCCAGGGACGGCGAGGTTTCGCTCAGGTCCCCGCGGTGCTTCACTCCGCAGGACCCACCAGTAGCCCTCGTAAGTGGCGACAGTGTCACAGATAGCACCCCCCCAGGGACGGCGAGGTTTTGCTCCGGTCCCCGCGGTGCCTCACTCCGCTGGACCCACCAGCAGCCTTCGAAAGTGGCGACAGTGTCGCAGATCGCAGCTTCCCAGGGACGGCGAGGTTTTGCTCCGGTCCCCGCGGTGCCTCATTCCGCTGGACCCACCAACAGCTTTGGAAAGTGGCGACAGCGTCACAGATCACAGCCCCCCCAGGGACGGCGAGGTCTCGCTCAGGACCCCGCGGTGCTTCACTCCGCTGGACCCACCAGCAGCCCTCGAAAGTGGCGACAGTGTCACAGATCGCAGCCCCTTGGCAATATACACTCGCAACAGGTACCGCAGCCGATGCGCACACACACAAACACACAAGCACACAACACGCACACAAACACACAAACACACAAGCACACACACAAGCATACAAGCACACAATCACACAAGCACACAACACAAACACACAAATAAACACACACAAACACACACACACACAGACACACACACACACACACACACACGAGGTACGCACAAGACAAGAGGAGACACGAGGAGAGCGAGAGGCGAGAGGCAGGAGGTGGAGGGCTGGAGACCGCAGCGCTTTCTTCAAATCGGATACCCAACCAATGAGGGTTGGGAACAAACAGAAAAAGGTTTCCAGAGCCTGCGAGCCGTACCCCGGACACGCTTCGTGGCCGCATCCAGACCGCTACCCTTCTCCGTGGGTGCGGGCGCCCGCCGTCACGCTTCACCCGGGCAGCTGGGAAGCCCTGGCTCCTGATCCGCCGTACTTTGGATGATTTTCCGACCTAAAATTGTGTCGGGAATCGACGCCAAAGGAGCCTCAAGGGCGGAAATCGACGCTCAAAGGGGCCTCAAAAGTAGGGCGGAAATTTCCGCCCTACTTTCGAAATCGCCCAAAGTAGGGCGGATCAGGAGTCAGGGAGAGCTCACCGCAGCTTTCCGGGCGCACCCCGACCGCGGAGCCGCGCCGCACGCAGAGCGCCGCCTTTTCTCTCCCCGTGGGTGCGGGCGCGCGAGCGCGAAGGTGGGGCGCGTGTGGCGCGGAGCCGCGCTGGGAGGCAGAGCGGTGGCCCCGGATTCCGTGGGCGTGCTCCCGAGGCCGCTCCGGCGACACGTACAGAGTGACCCTAGGTAAGAGTGACCTTTGGTCTGGGGGGGATTTTTCTGGTGTTTGTTTGGTTTTGTTTCGTTGTTTGCATTGTTTGATTTTTTTAGTTTCTCCTCCAAGATCCGCCTGTGGGGGGACGCCTTTGGTGCGCGGTTCAGGCAAGGTGCCGGGCCGCGCGCAGGCTCGGGGCCGCCGAAGTCCGCGGAGACCGAAGGGAGACACTGGTGGTCAGCCTTGCGGGAGGCCTCCTGTGCCGCCACGGCGGGGCGCACTATTCGGAGGAAGCGGGGGCGTTCGGGTTTTGAAGGGGTCGCCGGACCGATTCGGGTCGGCGTCTGCTGATGGGCCTGTTTTCCACCACCACCACCATAAGTTGGAGGGGGGAAGGAGGTGGAGGATGAGGAGGAGGAAGAAGAAGAAGAGGAGGAGGACCCCCTCCCCCTCCTACTTATGGTGGTGGTGGTGGAAAACAAGCCCACCATCTGCAGCGTCCGTGTCTCGGCCAGACCTGCGCCGTGAGGCTGCGCTCTTTCCCATCCCCCCCTCTTTGTTGATTCAAGCTTCGCGCGGCCCGCCCAGCTTCGACCGGAAGAGGTGCACTCTCGACCCGCGAATCAAAGAAGTGTCTCAGCCAGAGCTGCTCCGAGTCACAGCCCCCGGTCCTCCGGCGGAGCCCTCCCGTGAAAGGGAAAGCAGGTTTCGACTGGCCCTCCACATGTTCATCCTACTGAGTAGGCCCCGCAGGCCCCGCAGGTCCCGCAGGTCCCGCAGGTCCCACAGGTCTCACAGCTCCAACTGGTCTAGCAGGCCTCGATGGCCCCTCATGTCCTGCAGGTCCCACAGGTCTCTCGTGTCGCCTTTGCTGCTATCAGGGTGCTTTGCTAGGGTCAGTTTTGAAGTACTGGGCGCACGTAATTGCTTGAACTGCGCGCAGTGCCGAATGGGCCATGAGCGCAAGTGGGAAACGCTGCCCCACAGATGCGCAGTCTCGCCCGTCCTAGATTTTTGTGATGCGAACTTTCGGAGGCGGTGGTGACCATCGTGGTCATGCTCCTCTCCTTCCCCTCGCCCCGAGAGGCCGTGCACACGTGCAGAAAGGCCCACCAGTTCGGCCGGGCGCCAGAGGCGCGCCGACCGCCGCGGGCGTCGTCGCCGCCGCCGCCGCCGCCGCCGCCGTCGTCGTCGTCGTCGTCGTCGTCGTCGTCGTCGTCGTCGTCGTCGTCGTCGTCGTCGTCGTCGTCGTCGTGGTCGTCGTCGTCGTCGTCGTCGTCCTCGTCCTCGTCCTCGTCCTCGTCCTCGTCGTCGTCGTCGTCCTCGTCGTCGTCGTCGTCTTTCTCCTCCCTTTCCTTGTTCTCCTCCTCCTCCTCCTGCTCTTCCTCCTCCTCCTCCGCCTCAGCCTCCTCCGCCTCCTCCTCCTGGTCCTCCTCCTCCTCCTCCTCCTCCTCCTCCTCCTCCTCCTCCTCCGACCTCAGCGCGGGCGTTCAAGGTTCAACGGCGCCAGGTCAAGGCTCAACGCCGTCCGGGTCGACTTGTCATGACCTGCGCTCTCGGAGGGCCGCGATCCGGGGCAGGGTAAACTTAATCGGAAACTGGAACACATACATTACCAGTGGCGGGCGGTTTTTCACTCCCAGGACTTTTTTGAGGGTCCCCTGACTCCTGATCCGCCCTACTTTGGGCGATTTCGAAAGTAGGGCGGAAATTTCCGCCCTACTTTTGAGGCCCCTTTGAGCGTCGATTTCCGCCCTTGAGGCTCCTTTGGCGTCGATTTCCGAGACAATTTTAGGTCGGAAAATCATCCAAAGTACGGCGGATCAGGAGCCAGGGTGGCGGGCGGGTTTTCACTCCCAGGACTTTTTTGATTTGAGGGTCGGGGACGACGTCGGGGTGGTGTATACTGTATACTTGTTTCCCAGGTTGCCCGTGGAAGCAACAACAAATGTTTACACCAGGATGCCGTGTACACCAGAATCCGTTTTCTTGTGCGAATCTCAGTGCGGGACCGAAAAAAGCATCGGTGTAGAAAGTTCGGTTCCTTAGTTACTTAAGTCGGGCCTGTCCCTCCACAGGAGAAATAGATTCAAAAACAGCCAAAAAGAACAGTCGGGGGGCTATTTTTTTCACATTTGCTGGACCATTTGGGGATATCTGTGGAGCATTCTTTACCTTTCGTCGACACTCCCCTTGTAGGGGGGCACCCGCCCGACGTAAGGGCACAACGATCCGCGTGGTGTCGGAAACCCCCCACGGGGGGGGGCGCGGCCGCACGACGCGCCCGGCCCCCCGACGGCGTGGTTTTTGCGCGCGGCGTCGGCCCCCGGAGGTCTGCCCAGACGCGATGGCGTCGTGCACAGAGATCGGGAGCTGAGCTTTTGCTCGCTCTTCTCGGCCCCTGGGGGCCCTCGCCGAGTTCTAGACGCCCTGGCCAGAAATGTTCTAAGAGCCGTGTTCTCCACGAGATGCTCTTAGAACATTTCTGGCCAGGTCTGTCTTCTTTCAACACATAAGGCTTATGCTCTAAGAGCCGTGCTCTTGTTCTTGGATCATTCTTGGGCCTTGGCTTCTGAGAACATGTCGTGGTGGGCCTGCAGGAATGCCGGGACGGTCGGTCGGCCCCCAGAGGTCTGCCCAGACACGATGGCGTCGTACACAGAGATCAGGATCTGAGCTTTTGCTCGCTGTTCTCGGCCCCCCAGACGTGATCTTTTTTGGTCGGCGGCTCCAGGACGAAGGTCAAGAAGCGGGGCAACGTTCGGGGCGCTGAACGAAGATAATCCGTAAGGGCTTCGCCCCCTGCCGCCGGCCCCCTCTCTCGGAGAATGGGCCATGGAAGAGCTAAGTCATGAGGCTTTGGCGCTGTCGTGCAGCAGTATCGGAACTTCATGCGAGGCCGATTCGCAATCGGCAAAACCAACTGATCACAAGAGGGGTTACCACACAGGGCGATTGGTAAGACGTGTATGGTTTACGAGCTTGGTTACCACACCTTGGGATTAAAGGGCCGAGGGAGTACTCGCAGTTTGGGTTACCGCGCCTTGCGATGGATGTGCGTGAGGGGTGGCACCGAATTTCAGAAATGTGGCAAATCCCTGTGTTTTTGGACCCTGACCCCGCGGATCTGCGTGAGGGGTGGCACCGAATTTCAGAAATGTGGCAAATCCCCTGTGTTTTTGGACCCTGACCCCGCGGATCTGCGTGAGGGGTGGCACCGAATTTCAGAAATGTGGCAAATCCCATGTGTTTTTGGACCCTGACCCCGCGGATCTGCGTGAGGGGTGGCACCGAATTTCAGAAATGTGGCAAATCCCCTGTGTTTTTGGACCCTGACCCCGCGGATCTGCGTGAGGGGTGGCACCGAATTTCAGAAATGTGGCAAATCCCCTGTGTTTTTGGACCCTGACCCCGCGGATCTGCGTGAGGGGTGGCACCGAATTTCAGAAATGTGGCAAATCCCTTGTGTTTTTGGACCCTGACCCCGCGGATCTGCGTGAGGGGTGGCACCGAATTTCAGAAATGTGGCAAATCCCTTGTGTTTTTGGACCCTGACCCCGCGGATCTGCGTGAGGGGTGGCACCGAATTTCAGAAATGTGGCAAATCCCATGTGTTTTTGGACCCTGACCCCGCGGATCTGCGTGAGGGGTGGCACCGAATTTCAGAAATGTGGCAAATCCCATGTGTTTTTGGACCCTGACCCCGCGGATCTGCGTGAGGGGTGGCACCGAATTTCAGAAATGTGGCAAATCCCATGTGTTTTTGGACCCTGACCCCGCGGATCTGGGTGAGGGGTGTTGATTTCGAGCCCCCCCAGCAATTCAGACAACGCGCCCAGGGGGTGCTAAAAGTCCCGTTTGGGCCTCCCCCCCCCTCGCGCGGTCAGTCAATTAGTTTCAGTAACCAGCAAGAAGCAGAACTGTAACACTGGAAACTACAAGCTACAACTGGTACTGGAAACTGCGAACCCGCGCCTACAGCCTGGTGGCCCCACAAGGGGGCCGGCGGATTGGCCGCAGTGGCGTATGCACATGCAAGGGACAAAATTGCCCTCATTAAGACGCCAGCGGCGTCGGCAGGTGACCGGCACAGACATCCCAGCAGGTGGAAACGCCACCCCAGACGTGATCGCGCCGTGAAAAGATCCGGACGGGAGGTTTTTGGCTATCTTTTCGGCCCTGGGGGGCCCTCGCCGGGCCTCGGGAGCGTCAACAAAACGACTGAGGATGAGAAACTGGCCTCAGGGAAAGGGTCTGGACTTCCAGGGACGCCGTCCTGAAAAGATCAGGACGTCGCATGTCTGGGCGGACCCCTTCCCCGGGACTGGCCTGTCATCCTGAGTCGCTTTTTGGCGTTCCCGAGGCCCGGTAAGGGCCCCCAGGGGCCGAAAATAGCGAAAAGTCTCCCGTTGTGATTTTGTTCACAGCGCGAGGGGGTCTGGGTATGTCGTATACAGCATCCCAGTGTGCCTCTTTCGAAGCTCCCGAGATGGCCTCACGGAAGCCTGTGGCGGCCACCCTGGAGCCATGAGGTTTCTGACAACTGCTTTGTTCGAGCAGCCCGTGGGCGTTTCATCGGGGCTCCGTGGAGGCTCCATGCCGGCTTGGACGTTCTCTGGAGAGACCTCTTCCAGAGTTCCTGTTCAAGCAGTGGCGAAGCGTCCTGGCTCCCCAAATGGCCTACCAAACAGTGTTCCAAGAACCCTTCGTGGTTTCCACGAACTGTTCTTAGAACATGTCTGGCCAGGTCTGTCTTCTTTCAACACATAGGGCGTATGTTCTAAGAGCCGTGCTCTTGTTCTTGGGTCATTCTTGGGCTGGCTCCTGATCCGCCGTACTTTGGATGATTCTCCGACCTAAAATTGTCTCGGAAATCGACGCCAAAGGAGCCTCAAGGGCGGAAATCGACGCTCAAAGGGGCCTCAAAAGTAGGGCGGAAATTTCCGCCCTACTTTCGAAATCGCCCAAAGTAGGGCGGATCAGGAGTCAGGGGCCTTGGCTTCTGAGAACACGTCGTGGTGGGCCTGCAGGAATGCCGGGGCGGTCGGTCCCTGCTCGACCTGTGGCGCCTTCGGGCGCCCCATGGGCCATGGGGGCCACCAGCGCCCCAAGAGGAGCCCGTATGACTGGGCATCGCTCGGACGTGTGCACTTTCTCTCGGCTGGGACTCTCTCGAGGAGCATCCTGGATCATCCTGCGAACAAAAATCGGGCCAGACGAAGGGGGGGGATTGGGAAAGGGGGGGGGTACGAAAGTTGCTGCATGCAGCTGGCTTCGGCCTCACCGAGGGGCCCATCCCTCGATACGTAGCCGCCTCCGGCGCCGGGAGGCGCCGGGAAAATCAGCTAGCTACGCGAGCTGATTCTCACCCCCCCCTTTGCTATCCCCCCCTTTCGCCCGACCCGAAAAAACCGCGCACGAGACCGAAAAAGGGCACAGGGAATGGACGGCCGAGCGATGGCCAGAGGACGCCGTTCTGCCTTCCGGGGCCCTCCGTTCCCCACCCTTCCCGCGGCGGGCCTCGTCGAGCTCCAGCCGTCCCCTCTGCTGCCCCCAGGGAGGAGGAGGAGGAGGGGGAGGACGAGGGGGGACGAGGGGGGACGAGGAGGAGGAGGAGGAGGAGGAGGAGGAGGAGGAGGAGGAACCTGTCCCTCTACAGGAGGAAAATTCAGAAATAGTTTAAAAAAGAATAGTCTGGGGACGATGTTCTGAATAGTTTTTGGCCATTTTGGGGTACTTTTTGATATTTTTCTTGTTCGTCCAAGATCTCCCTGTAGGGGGACAGGCCCGACCTAAGTCTGCTGTCCCCAGGGACCACGATACCCACTGAACATCAACACCTGACACTGGAGTTATTTTCTCACGCCCCAGGAGCCCGACGCCGAGCGCTTCCCCATGGGGCCAGAGAGCCGCCGACCAAGACGGCTCAAGAGGTCTCAAGCCAGAACGCCTTGCGAGTACCCCACAGCATCCACCCTCCGACCTCTGGCATCCCCTCGCCCTCCTCGCCTCCTCATGCCTTCCTCGACGCCGTCATGCCTCTTGGCCCTCTGTTTTCCTCCTTCCCTCGGCTGGCCTCGCCCTTGGTATCGCTCGGACGTGTGCACTTTTTCTCGGCGGGGATTATTGAGGAG